ACGGCTTTTCAGAATTTGATGTGGTTTTCACCGTTTCATGTAAGAGCTGTTGTCAAACGATGGCACTAGATAGTGATCATCAATCACCAATACTCCACGTACGGACCGTGTTTCTGATTTGATGTAAAGCGTCTTTGAGCACCAGGAAAAGCATTATAAAAATTAAATGTATTATTATTAATAATTGTATTTCACATTACAATATTTAACCTTACATTCTGTTTCTTTCACCTGCACTATTTTATTCAAATCTATCGTACTCTGTTCATTTGCACTATTTTTATTTTTGTATTATTATTATTATTGTTATTTTGTTGTCTTACAGTATGTCCTTTATATAATATGTTGCACTGTTGGAGGATTACATTTATTATTATTATTATTATTATGAATTGTATTTCACATTACAATATTTAATCTTACATTCTGTTTCACCTGCTCTATTTTTATTCAAATCTATCGTACTCTGTTCATTTGCACTATTTTTAATTTTGTATTATTATTATTTTATTGTCTTATGTCCTTTATATAATATGTTGCACTGTTGTAGAGCTCGGGACCTAAGATTTTCATTGCCATAACTACACTGTAGCTGCGCAGTGTGCACATGATAATAAAACCGTTGAATCTTGAACCTGAATGTGTTTCCTTCCTCCCTGCTCACCTGTTCTCCAGCTCTGAGATATCACTCTGCAGTCGGAGGTAGAACTTCTCGGCCTGTGAGAAGAGCTGCCTGAGCAGCAGCACGTTGGTGTGGGCTGTGTTGATCAGCTCCATCTCCACCTCCCCACGCACCACCACCTGCAGCCCATCCAACATCTCCTTCACCTCGTCCACTGTGAAGGTTTCCTCCACCAGCCTACAGAGAGAAACATACACACATTACAGTTCCAACCCACCTGTTGTTATATACTGTATATTTTAAATTAGAAGTGGGATTTACATAAAAACAATGATAAAAGAAAGGTAAGGTTGACAAGTTACCTGCTATCTTTGAGTTCCTCAAAGCAGGAGTCAATAGTCTTTAGTCTCAAGACCCTCTTTGAACGTGCAAATCGCATGTAATTGATGACTTCATTTTGATGCTGTTCATTGAACCCAAATTCAGCCTACATGGAGACATGGACAGAGAATAGATTGTCATCACTGATGTACAATGGACAGAGAGAGAAGCTAATGAAAACCACAACTAGCTTATGAGCTATCTTGAAGAGGATTTCCCCCTGCTAATATGTGTCGGCCTATTCACATGAGCTTGCCCATACTGTGTGCTAACTCTGGGGCTAACTGTCTAACCGTCATTTAATAAAACAGAGCGAGAACTTTAGCATGCTAACTTCCAAAAGCAAACAGGTGGCCTGGCTACCCCCATAACCACAAATGAACGAAACTACTTACCATGGTGGCTGTGCAGCTAATGTTAACGTTACTAGCTTAGCTTGTAGACTGGTGATAAAAAGAGAAATGGGTGTTTCAGCCTATAATGTAGGCCACGCAGCAAACAGACTAGAAGCAAACGGAAAGGTGGTGGAGTCGAGGGTTCTACTAAACTATTTTGTAGTAATAGTTCAACTCAGTGAGGAGGCTAAACCGGGTTAAATCATAGCTATAAGATTATCTGGCAGATTGGCTAGCCGAGCTTTCCAGCTAGTGTTTGCCTTGAGAATGCCTTGGTAACGGAGAAGAGCGTCATTGCCTTGGTTACTAGGGGGGCGTTCAACGGCGCTACGTATTGCGTGCAGCATGAAAGTTATGGTCGAATGATTGTTATAATATAATATATATTCATGAAACATCATAAAAGAAATGTGCATACTTATTAAAAACATGTATTACACGTTTTGTAAAAACATGTTTTTGTAAAAAAAAAAATCAAGCAATATTAAATCTTGTCTAATTTCTTGTAAAAGTCTCCGTCATTCATTGATTTCGAATTATTAAGTAATTAATTGTACAGGTCATAAGTGCAAGAAGGTCAATATAATTTATTTTAAAGCATGTTTTTTCTGTCTTCGTCACTTTATAGTATTAAGCAGTAGATGGCAGTATTGAACTAATGGACCTCTGCTCCTCATCAGTAGCTTCCTCTGAGAAAATCTCCTTTTTTTCTGTTGCACCCATGACATGTATAATCTCATATATTTATGTATATGTTTTAGCAATGGGTCCTCGTTTGACACAATAGTGGGACATAAAAGCTTTTGATTGGGATCTTAAAATGAAACGGCTGTGCAAAACACGATGGCATATTTGACACTGACTGCCACAATGTTGAGTACATTTACCAGTCACATAAAAACAATGACAGTATGTTTTAAAGTAAACAATGACTGTTTTTCTTTTGTATCTTCTAACATGTTTCATTGGTAATCATAGAGCAATGCAGCATTTTCCTCCTTGCTCCTTCTCCTTTCCTCAGCCATGTTTTCCATCCCCTGCCTTTCCAATTTCCTCACCTGTCTGTGCTCCTGCAGATCAGGGACCCCCATTTGGTGGGGTCCTTTACTTCCAACCTTCTCTTTCTGTCCCTTGATGTATGCAAGATCTTTTAAAGGAATCCTTTTCTCTCTGCTGCAGGAACAGTTAATGTGGGCTTGGATCACACAGCCATCACAGCCTCCCCTCTCACAACTGGTAATCTGACACTTGCAAGTCAAAATATCAAATAATTGGTCTAACTTCACACTGAACCTCTCTTTGGCATCAAGTTTGGCCTTCCCAAGGGAACACTTCACTGCCTGATTCCAGACCTCCTTGAGCTTGGACATGATGGTCACCTTTTCATTTATAACAGGTGGTTTGAAAAGAGCATTCACTTTGCTCCACTGACCAATCAGACCAGGGAAGATATCACCCACCAGCTGGTCCACTGTGTAGTTCCTCCTATCATCTTTACTTTGATCCCTCAAGTAGATGCCATACCTCAGGATCACAGTTGGCAGTTCAGACACCAACAGCTCTCGCCCAGTGCCAACAATATTACTCAAATGAGAAGTCGATTTTGCCCTTGTTTGGACTTGAGCCATTTCAACTAGTTCACACTGAAAACACTGATACACAAGTACCAGCGACAAGTACGTTTAATTTCCTTTACATTTCACTTCAGACAGGAACATAAAACCCCTGACTTCAAAATAAAAGCCCTGATTTCAAAATAAAAGACCCCCAACTTAGTCTCTTTTTTCCCAGAAGAATAGTAAATAATCGAAAAATAGATAATATTCAACTGCAAATTGATGTAGGTTAGGATCATCAGAATTGAAAAATATCTTCAGATTTATGTTCTACACGCAAAATACGTTATATGAACACCCCTCTCGATCGATTTACAAAAGAAAAATGGTATGGCCCGCCCTAATAGAGCATGTATATCTCTTTAAATTCCTAATGGCTGCTAGCACCACAACAACAAGTTTGGTTTACTAGATTAAGCATATGGCAGTATTTATTTACCAATTTAAATACAATTATCCAGTTTATAGTATTCTTCTTCAATACATGTTTTAACTAATCTACTGATTGGACTCATAATGGCTGCTTTTTCATCATTAAAAACGAATCTGTCTTCACGTGAGCCAATTGAAAACTTAATAGAAATTGAATGGCTACTTGTTATTTATCACTGAAACCAAAAGGACATCTCTATCTATTGTGTTAAGAAGGTTTTTTTAAGAAGAAAAAAAAGAGGAAACTTTCCTCATGTCTCTTTATCTGTAATTAAATCAGACTAACAGGCAGCACATGGTTGGTCACCTAATCAGATGCATCAGAATGTGACCACTCAGTGTTGCCCTGCTTCACTGTGCAACATCAGTCAGACACAGGGACCAAGATGTTTCCCCTTTACCTTCAATCGCGGTGAGTCACTTACATTTTGAAACAGGTACTAGACACCTTGAAACCATATTCTGAAGGGTCAGAGATTAGGCTACTCTTTTCAGTTTTTGGCCCTGGGAGTCCCTGGGGCTGCCTGTCCACAGTGGTCAGTTAGACCTCCTCCTAGGAACTAGCAAACTCTCAAATATATTAGATTGTACAATACTGAAGATCATTGCAAAGCAAAGGTGTTAAAAGAAATCAATTTATTGAAAAATGTAATGTTTAATAAACAATGAAGCAATGTGAAGCATTTCATTAAAACATTGTAGGCACCTACAACCATGCGTTGTAATAGATGCATTTAAAGTAAACTGTTGTATAAGAATGATATGACAGGAAAAAAACATTATTATAAAAGTACTTAAGGTTGTGTATGCAGGTGTTTATTTTTTCAAGTTGCCATTTCATATCAAAGCGATATGACACTTTGTGCCAGTAAATGTGTGGCCAGATAATTTTTGTTCTGGTCTCAATTTTCATCTAGGCCTAACTTGTGCTCACTGTTATAATAATAGGAAGTATTGCTGCATTGGTAGTACTTTGTCCCTAGATGGCACAATAATCTTTATTTTTCCAGGTCTCTGTTTGTATTTAGCAGGCCCCCGGAACTGGAAACCTGCACTTTAAGGGTTTTATTTGGCAATATACTGTAAGCTAACACGAAGTGTTATATGCAGATAAATGCACATGTAAAAATAGGAGAAGGTAAGGAGTTATTTAGTTAGATCAATTCAACAAAAGGCATTTAGACATTTACTCTAAGCAAAGTGACTGTCAAAATCGAACTATTAGTTAATAAGAGTCTATATTTGAGTGTTTGGAGCATGGTTAATACATTCAGTATGATGTATCTGGCTTATTAAATGGTCGCTTATTCACTCCTTACAAATGGAAACTAAAGATTCTCTATATAACCAAGTCAGCACAAGCCCCGCGCAATTCACTGCTCCGAGGTCAGTTGTCGGCTGTATGTATCAATACAAACACGGAAGGAAATTGAGAGAAGAACTGATCTCGGGTCGGCCTCTCGATAATTCCGCGTCGAGACAAACCAATCAGCTGACACCCGCATGACAGGCAGGCCTCACGCTTGCGCAGTAGCACTCTATTGGTATCAGGAATATGGCAGCGTCCTGAGCCCTGTTGGGGGGAATACGGCGTAACTGAGCACCTTCAGCACCAAAGTGGGAAAACTGAGAAGCACCACCCGCACTCGGAGGAGGGTGGGGGGCTGAGGGACGGCTTCGACAATTACCCGTTAGCGAATTTACAGGTAATTGCAACCGTTTGCACCTGCCACTGTCTTCAAGCCATCTTCTCCATGTTTGCTTGATTGAACCCCGCTGCTAATGCGACTAGCTAGCTCTTCTGCCAAACCCGAGTACAGTGCTAGGTAGCCGCTAGCTTGACGCTAACCCAACATTAGCCTGCCACAGCCCCTTTTTTGCATTTAGCAAACAAACGCTGATAACAATAGTCTCTGGGTTATCTTTTATTCTTGTGAGGAGGAGCAGCACTATCGACATCTATATAATGTGCTGTCGTTCTTGTTTTTAGCCAGTTAACCGTGTAGGCCCGCTGCAATGAAGGATACTTTGGCTAAGCGTTTGAAAGCCAGGTAACGTTAATTCTGTTTGTCATGGATTTACTTGACAGATCGGGATCCAGCACTCAAAATCAAATGGACTTAAGAATCACGGACAGCTTTTTCAACGCATTTTGTGTAACCTATATGTTTATATCTCTAGTCACGTGTAAACAAACTGCAAGCAAGTTGTTCATTAAATCGTTATAGAGCCATACAAGATGAAGTAGAGTAAGTGCAAGTTGACATTGAGATGATTCACATAATTGGCAAATAAGAGGAGGACATTGCAACACGTCTTAAGTGCAGAAACAGCTTTTAAGAAGAAAACCACATTGCAGAAACCAGAATGATATTTGCTTAATGCTTCTGGCTATGTCAAAAATCCTATAGATTGTGCTTCTATTGTGCTGTCAGTTCAGACATGGTTTATGTTCAACTTGGTATTAACTGGAGATGTAAGAAAAAGTTAGGCCCATATAATGATGTAATAACAAATGATCATTTGACCCTTGTACCCACACTGATGCTGATGCAGTTTACATATCATTTTTATTGTGCTTTTCAAAGGAAAATGCTGATTCAACTCTTTTTTTTCTTCACAGCTGTGAGAAACATGGAAGAAAACAGAATGAAATAGCAAAGGAGAGCAAAGGAGTTGTTAACACAGTATTACATGGTTAATTGTCGTGGAACTTAGAGTTTAACTTGCGTCTGTAGTCTGTTTTTTGGTAACTAACCAGTAATATGGTTGATAGTCTGTTTACAGTTGTTCAGATCCCATTTCAAAAGCCGTGTTTGCTAATGTTGATGAAAAGTTGGGAGTCCTGTCTGGAACAAGTTTTCATGTAAATGGTGTGTGCTTTGCTTTGGGTCTGGTTCCATTTTCATTGACTGTTATTCTCTTGTTTCCTTTCCTCTTTTGTCTTCTATTTTTTGCTCAAGGATAGCCCATCATTAAATTGCTATTGATCTGTATACAGGCAGGAAGAGGTGGGAGGAGGAATCACATGACTAAATCCTGGAATCTGGCTTGACTTTTAAACTCCTCAGTCCTCACAAAACGCTTTCAACCCAGTAATGTATTAGAAACGGCACTGCCCTCTGCAGAAGCAAAGAGCATGCTGTGCACTGCTTGCTGTTAACATCTCCTATTGTGCATTCCATCAGCCCCCCGCTCTGGATTAAATTAATTATGCAGCTCCGTGAATGTGTGTCAGAAAGAAAAAAAAACTGTTGATGCAAAACTTGGCTCTTGACATTTCCTTGCAGCTTTGTTTCTCATGCACAGGCATCAATTATTGAGACCCAGACACTGGCTAATTTTTAAAGGTCCAAGTCCAGTGTTGGTGGACCTGCTGTCCCTTGATTCAGCCGCACACAGAAATGGAGAGGAAGGAAAACTGGAGTCAGATTTTTTTCCAGGATCCTGGCAGAGTGCTGACACAGGTTCCTCATGTCACAGTGCAGCAGAATACTGCACTAAGGATAGGAGAGGAATTTGCTTTAATCTTGTTTTTTACTGCTTTGCTTGAAACCATCTTTGACAAACAATCACTCTTATAACGAGCCTAATGATGGTTTGTGCTAATTGGAGAAGGACACTCGGTTTGGTTTTAGTTTCAATAACATGGATTTTAGTTTATCCATTGTCCAGGTGTGAGGATTTGTGAGGCCAAAACACTGAGACATGGTCTAACCCCTGTGTATCTGAAGTGATCAATAGGCCACTCTGGCTCTGCACCAGATTGTATTGACACAAGCTCAGCTGGTGTACTGTTGTGTTATTTCTGTATTCATCATATCCGACTGGAGTGAAAGACCTCGGTTTTGTCTGAGCAGATCATATCGCAGTAGTTCCTTATCAGTTTTCCTCTTCGTCTGAGTAAATCAAAACATATCAAAGAGTGGTTTATAATCATTTGGAAGTCATGTGCTACCAGCTGCATTGATCCTATGGTTAATAGCTAAGCTAATGGTATTTAAGAATCAGTCAGTCATGGAGCGCTGCAATACACATGGACTACTCGGACGTTGAATAATCGCTATTTTCTCTGTATTAGTTCTGTAGTCGATGGAATGTCATGTGGGAGTCTCTCTCTTCAAGCTGCAAAATGTTGAATGTCTGTGTGAAGTGTGTGTGGCAGTATATTGGAACGCATGTTACATAAACTCGATGTATTGAAGACCTGTGAAGCTGCAGGTTATTTAGTGACTTTAACTGGAGATCATCCTCCCCCTCTTTTGTGTAATTTAAAAATGTAACATTTCCTTTCAAGTCATTTTAAAGATATTTATTTATGTTTTTATTTTACCCTAATCATTATAACTTTTCGTCTGTTTTGTAGGTCCCGTGAAAAGATGAATGTCGTCAAAGAAAATAAAGACATGGCCTGCTTCTACACCACCAAACACTCCTGGAGGGGAAAGTAAGACCCATAACATGTTTTTATAACCCCACTGATTCCTTTTCAGAGCTGGTGCCATTTCAGGGCTTGAACCTTGTCTACTACCTCTCTTTTGTATTCATTTACAACGCAACATTGACCTAAAGTCTTCCCTTCATCACTTTGTTTGTCTTCTTCACTTAAAATCCTGACGCAGTTCTTCCGTTGTGTTGACATTCCTTATCTTAGACAGGGATAGGAGGTCTGCAGACCCTGATCAGCACTAATGAGCTGTGTTTTGTAGAGCTGCATGTCTTATGAAATGTGACCCAAAGACACAGATACTGACAGTAAACACAGCAAGATGGTTCATGTGTTTTATGGATACCAAAACATGAAACTGTTTTTCACAATGTTACTCTTACTCTCAATACTCACATAATTGTTACTATAGGGGGCAACTTGTTTTTTTATTGAGAGGAAGTAAACAAAACTACAGCTGCAACTAGTGGTTTGACAGAATATAAATCACCAACTATTTTGAAAGTCCTTCGCTATGGATGTGGTGAAAATGAAGTAAAGGCAATTTGTTGAAGTCGCACAGGATTGGGAGAGGTTAGCAATAAAGGAAAAGATAGTGCTTGCAAAAATATATGGATGTGACAGCAGGAATACTGCCATACAAGCGTAAGCACTGTGTAGTGTGTACATATATAGAGGGTGCAATCACAGCGGCTCTCTGTGTTGTTTTAGCTTAGTTTTGGAAAGTAATCAGACATCATGCCAATAATTCAAAAATCATGAACTAAGCTCAGATATTATAATACATTTACAAATCCTCCTATTTCCCTTAGCAGTTTGTAGTGCGTTTATTTGAAACTTGTAATTAATCATCATTAACCACAGATTATGATTGTGATAAACGCTATTAAATTTCAATCAATTTACACCACTAATAAAAGGAAATCACTTTTCATTTTTTTTAGTTACTGAAAAGAACATGATGTAAACTGGTAGAGTACAATAAAGGAAAAATAAGGGCAGCAAAGTTTATTTATGCTGTAAACTAATCCTAACCCTATGTCCATGATCATCTAAGGCAAAAGGTATTTGTTTTCATTTGATAGATTATAGTTAAATTACATACTATGTGACTTGATGTAAATACTTTGGTGTCCCTCATGCTAAAAGATGGAGATGCTCAGTTTGAGCCGGTGGCATCACATTACCAGTACCTGCTCTCTAAATGTCTTTGTGCCATTAAGGACTGCCATTGACTTTGGTAACTGAAGCAGGGCTGCAGAGCATTAGCCATCATCGAGGCTTCATCCTGCTAATGCTTCCTGAAGGGTCCGACATAGACCAGTGTTGATGTATGTGTGGTGGATACAGGGGAGGTCGAGTCAGAGCGACACAGTGGCGCACTTTAAACCCCCATTTATGATTGGTCTGAATGGAAAGACAGATTTCCATGAGCCTCCTACCGACTTGAAAGTGGGTTGCTCTCTGCCCGGTTTTTGTCGAACACGCCTCTATCAGGGATGAAAACTGAATTTGAATGTCATTCAACTGTCACCCCTAAGAGAGAAAGAGAAAGATGAGAAGACGCAGACGACTATATGAGAGGGAGTGAGCAGGGGAAAATGAAACTTAATTTGTTGCTTCTGAAATGCAATTCTGTGAAATCTCAGTGAAGCGTAACTACAGTTGAAGACATCAATGTACAAATGCTGACATCAGGGGATTAACTTTTGACAGTTGTGTCATGAATCTGTCAAATACAATTCAGAGGAACTGCATCCTATGCCCTTCTTCTGTATGAAAAGGGCACGAGTCACACAGTTTTAGGAGGCAACAGTTCTTGCTTTATAACAACCTAAGATATTGTGGGCTTCTTTGTCTCCTGTGAATCCTGGAAACCATGATCTAATTTGATTTATAACCAACCTTTTTAGTCTAAAAACAAAGCAAAAACTTACCAAGAAAACATATTTGAAGCACACCTAAAGTGGACCTATCATGCTATATTTGAACAATATATTGTAGGGCCATACCTATATAAAGTATATAAATATAGTTTTTTTTTCAAAATACCAAAACGATCCTGCATTTTAGCCATGCCTCATTTCGCTCTTTCCAGTGCTGTTTTTGCAGGGGGCTGATTCTGTGAGCTGCAGCTGACCACACCCCCCTGCAGGAGAGGGGAGCGTGCTCTGAGATTCTCAGAGCACGCTCCCCTCTCCTGCAGGGGGGTGTGGTCAGCTGCAGCTCACAGAATCAGCCCCCTGCAAAAACAGCACTGGAAAGAGCGAAATGAGGNCTTTTGTACGTCTTGTATACATGAATATCGTGTCCCCGGTGTGTCAGGGAACTCACCAAGTGTCAGAAAACACAACCCTCTCTATTTTCCTCCAAACCCAAATCTCAAAAAAAGGGGCTGCAACAGATCTGATACAGATTGATCCAGGTTTGAACACTGTCCTGACGTCAGGACGGTGGCGCTACGGCTATTGGTCAATTCTCCACCAATCAGGGGAATGAGAGGTTGGGCCACGGCCGGCCATTGCCGCTTGAAAGCGCTGGAGACGCTGTAGTACATATGCTAGGCCTGTAAGTGGCGCTGTAGTCTGCCGCAAAAGCAGCGAAGAAGACTTCACTTGCATGGTTGCCATGGTTGCCCTTCTGTTTATTCTCCGCTGTGGCTCTTTTTCTCCCTCCCCGAGGCAAGCGTTTGCACTTCCTGGTTTAAAACAAATGAATAATGACTCTATATAATCATATGTGAGGGATAATGTGCAGCGACGCGGTCATTATGGGGAAAAGAACACCGACAGGCTGATCAGGAGCCCGATGCGAAGCGGAGGGATCTAGATCGGCATTAAGGCACACTATGCAATGTGCACATTATCCCGCTTATTACATGGCCACATTCTCAACAAAGTAACGATATGACTCCCAATATTAATTGAAATGCTTTTATGGATTTAGAAAATGATTTTATTGATTTAAAAAATAGTTGTATGGATTTAAATTGACATGCATCCGCTAAGAAAATAGTCCGTTGTTACTGTTTGAACTAACGAAGCAACGGCAGGAACTGCTTCGATAGCGTTTTTGAGGAGCTTTTTGATTACAGATTTGAAAACATTGTTGCTTGCTTTAAAAGTAGCACAATTCATTATGTCAAACCTTGGAAAGTATCTAGATATCCCTGCCCTAAAGCCAAAGTAACTGGCAACTGAATATGTGTTGCCGTTTGATGTCTATGTCTGGAAAAAAGGCTGCGTAAAAAGGAGGGTTTCTGCCCCATTACTTCTCTTCTTACTTCTATAAGAATAAAACAAGGAGGACGGAGATCTCTTTTTCTCCTCCTCTTCTGAGAGCCCAGCAGCTGATCTCAGAGCACGCTCCCCTCTCCTGCAGGGGGGCGTGGTCAGCTGCAGCTCACAGAATCAGTCCCCTGCAAAAACAGCGCTTGAAAGAGCATATAGAGCTAAATGAGGCATGGCTAAAATGCAGGATCTGTTTGGTGTTTTGAAAAAAAAACGATCTTTATATAGGTAT